CATGCTATTTCTCTAGCCCTCTGTTTTTTTTTCTTTTTTTGCATCTTAACTGGCGATCTGAAATAACTAATCCTCTTTCATAATTTAAAAGAGAAAAATATGCTGGAAAAAACAAAAAATTAGGCAATTTTTGGCCTATTTTATCGGCTGAAGAGATCCGAAGGCTGATTTCAGACCGCGGTCAAATGCCAAAAATACCAAAAACTGCACTTTAGTCTCGCCCTTCGGACCGAGCTTCCGCAGTAAATTGGCGGTTGAAAGAACAGAGGAATATGCAAAGCAGGAATAAAAGGTTTGCAAAGCTGATCTTCCGGTGTGAAAGAACGTCCCAGTAACATCGCTAACATGAGATATTCGCACCAGTCGACGGATGATCTTGGTATTCTTTGGTATAGGAAGTGCAGCAAATAGTGGTTTTAGAACATTTTCAATTTTCTAGAAAAACCCACCGAGAAATATCCTCAAAAACTAGGGCAAACACGTGTCTGCGCATTTCTCTTCTACGCCTTTATTACACTTACTGGCCTCCGAACAGTAAATACTGTAAAAGAAAGGAAAAAAGAAGTGGAGCTAATTACGGAAAAGGAAGGTTCGGGTTTTGCAGGGTAAGATTTAGAACAATTGGCTTGCCGCATTCGACTAAATGGTAACTTCTTCGAAAACGCGAAATTTCAGCAACGGAAGAAAGAATTTCGGAATGATTAATGCGTAGGCAGGTGGAAGGGATATGTGTGTGTGTAAAGACAAGCATGCGTTCAAGCAGAAAATGAATTTGTGTTTAACAGGCTGAGTGCCAATAGACCAAAATAGTCCTCACTAGGCCAGATAAAAATAACACAAGTAGTACAAGAGTGAGCTTGTTTTGCTCCTAAAAACTGCTAATTTGTCAACATTTCTCACATACACAATACTCTGCTTTGACGTCATCCAAAAGTTAACTGATTACTCATTCAGTTTTGTTCATTCATGAATGAAGAAGAAAAAGCATCGACTTTTGGCTGCTGAGAACGAGGAAAAAATTGTATCGGCCAAGTTGCTTCGAGCAATCAAATTTCTTTCAATCATTTCGGATACTCTCTTGACATTATTCAACAAAAATTGATTACACACATGCAACATATCTCACACTTCCCCCACCCCGACACTCCTGTGGGCTTAAATTTGCAGAA